GTTGTCCTCTTCTCCATCTCTGCCTATGGTTTACCGGGCAGCTCTGTTTGACTATATATACAACGACTTCGCTAGCACCCTGCTACGGTATTCTCCGGTCAGGTCGAGCGGCAGTGGTCGGGCCCGTCACTATGCGGCCATGCTGTGCCTCTAGTGCCTGCGGCGTGTCTGGAGTGTATTTTTTGGCTGTGACAGACCTTTCTTTGTTTCGTGGGTGTTTTACTTGCTTGTGATGGGGTGTGAACCGACAGCCTGTAGAGTTTTCCATCTGGTGTGGGTGAGTGATAGTTTGCTTTGACTTTTGCCACAGGTACCTTGAGGGCAGTGGTTGGTGCCCACCTCAGGGTATCAGTTATCGGGCAGTCGTTGATGCTTAACCACAGCCGGGGTTAAGGTAGATTATAACTTACAGTGTAATCAGTTAGGGGATTCTCCAGACTGTTGAGGGTTCAGCCTCCTGACGAGTCGGTGAAACTCCGACGAAACAGTTTGCCACAGCCCCTCGTTTGTTGTCCTCTTCTCATTCTCTGCCTACGGTTTACCGGGCAGCTCTGTTTGACTACGAGGGGCCGTCGGAGTTTCACCGACTCATCAGGAGGCTGAACCCTCAACAGTCTGCAGAATCCCCTAACTGATTACACTGTAAGTGATAATCCACCTTAACCCCAACTGTGTTAAAACAAAAAAAACAAAAAACGTTTAGGCTCGGAAAGACAGGTGATTCAGTAAGGCCAAGTGTGTTGAGTTCGATTCCCTGCAGTGTCATAGACGGATCCAAGGCCGAAAAAAGATCTGCTCTGATCATGTCTGGCTGAATCTGAAGTGGTTGTCTGGTTTGCATGCATCCTCTCCATACTCTCATGGGCATGTCCTTTGTGTCGAGATGGGCTTGTTTGCTGTGTATATTCACTTCCCCCACCGTTCTGCATCTGTGTTCCTACCATCTTCCCCGGAATAGAATCTTATGGTATCCGTCAACGAATGTAGACTGAAAACTGTCCCAAATGCAGGCATTATGACCATACATTCTATTCAGGGGAAGAGGGAGGGAGGTATGTGGCAGGCATGTTGCGTTTGACATCTATTTGCAACACTCCATTCAAAACAGTACTTCCTCGTTGGAATGCACCGGTCTACCATATCCTAGTCCCATAACTGAAGGCCCATAAAAACCGAGTCCCACATCCTTCCCATTACAAGTCACAACCAGATCGACCCACACCAAACTGCAGCAGTAATTCCTTATCCGTCATTTTTGTTGCCCTGCAGCTGCAGGAACGGCCACCAATGATTGCTCTTGGCTGAGCCTTTAAGGTCCTATTTCTCGTTGCACCATGGCCATTTTCTGTGGGCTTCATTCACTTTCCCCTCTTCCCCTCGTTCTCCTCTTCGTCTTGCACCCTGCTCTGGTGTTTTAGTAGAGCATGTGACTGGCTACCTAAACGTCATAGCATGAATCTTTTTTTTTTTTTTTTTTTTTTTTGAAGCCTTTCACTGGCTACCTTAACACCGTAGCATGAATCATTCTAAAGTAGAACGAGTAGAAAGGCGCGTTAGCGCTCTTCGCTTATCACGGAAACGAAAAGTTTACTCACCAATGACTCAATGAGTCGTCATCATCAAATCAAACACTCTCCACTCCCTTTTGCTGTGCTAACCTGAATGACTGTGTGTGAAACGATAGAAAAACTCCAGGACTTGAGAGTACCATGGTAGCTTGAGCAGAAAAGCAATGACAGGTCTATAGGGTGGAAGCATCATGAGTCCAGCGTGAACCACCCAGCCAGCTAGGAAAGCCACATATTATTGTCACACACAAGACTTGTGTGACCAATATAAAGCGCAAAAAATAACTGAGGGACCGAACTTGTAGCTGCGGAAGGGCTCAGTAGCGTTCTACTTACATAGAGGTAACGCGTGCATGGGAAAATGGCAAAATGCTGATGCATAGAAAAGCTCTGGGATTCGGGAGTACGGCAGAATAGCAATAAATGGTCTATAGGGTGGAAGCATCGAGAATCCAGCGTCAACCACCCAGCCACGAAAGCCACATATTACTGTAACAAGATTTGCGTCATAGCTTTCCAAAAAAAAAAAAAAAAAAAAAAAAAAAGATTTGTGTCACCAATACAAAGCGCAAAATAACTAAGGGACTGAACTTGTAGCTGTGGAAGGGCTCAATCAAGCACCATGAGAAGCTTCGTGCTCTCACTCTCTTTTTTTTTTCTTTTTTTTTTTTTTTCATGAAAGGGTGCTGGAGCTGATAGTTTATGCCTACGACACCGTCGTTGAGTGCATACCATACAGGTGAGGTCCTGGTGAGGTCATCGACACATTTCTTCTGTTGATTTATGGTGCTTGCCACTTCCCGCTCGGTGTTATACCTTTCCTTTTCTTTTTTTTTCTTTTTTTTTTTTGTGGGTGCTCACAGGACCCACCCCTACCTACCTCATCTTTCTCCTTTCTTAGCGGAACCTCTAACTCGATAGCTGGAGTGTAGTACAGCACCATCACTTTAGATCCTTCTGTGAGGATTGAGCCCTCAAGTGCGGGCCTTGCCATGATGTACATGTTCTGGGCTAAGGCCCCAGCAAGCCTAGTGCCCGCCCTAAGTGAAGGCGGGCCAGCAAATCGACAAGAGCCCTCTGTGCAACATTTCACGAAGTGGGGTCCATACAGTTGCAGCACGCCAGTTGGTTGGAGTGCACCGAGTCTCGGATTTCAGCAAATGCTGAAAGCCCAGGGCCTCTGAGTTGGTTAGGCCCTGGGCATCTGAACGTGAGGCCGACAATGCATGCTGGGAAGAGAGGCCGAAAATGCCGAAGGGAAATCGTCCCACTGTCTGAATCTGGCCGCAGGCCTTGATGAAGGAGGCGCAACTGCCTTACCCCGGGGCCCAACTGTATCGAGTTGGCTTCAGCCTCTGGGCCCCGGTCACAGGCTGAAGGGAGGCCGCCCACACGCTGCACTGGCATATAGGCAAGCAGGGCGAGGCAGCGGGGATCTTGGCCATTGCGGGCAATGCCGGCACGCTGCGCAAATGCGAGCTGCTGGCTGCTGCGCTGCGCTAAGAGGTAGTGCAAGGCAGGCATGCGCTAGGCGGTAGGGCGCTGCCTGTGCACTGGGCGCTTGGCGGCCATAGCCGGGCTGCAGAGGGCGCAGAGGGGTGAAGGGCGAAGGTGGTACTTCGGAGGTGAAGGGCGCTGTGTGGGTAACAAGGGAGAGTGTGGGGAAGAGAACTACCTGGTGAGAGATGGAGGTCTGCATTGGTGTTGACATCATCAGTCGCTGGTAGTCAAGTTGTCTGGTTGCTGTTCATTGCTGTAGTTGTAGGATAGGCTGTAGAGTAGATAGGGCGCCTGGCGCCATTCACAAGAGAGAGCTACATTTGGGTTATGCTGTTGGTGTTGCCCTGTTGGGCATGGACAT